TTGCGGGCACATCCCCAGTTGGGGAGTATGCAGGAGGCAGCTGATTGATGTTTCTCTCTCATTGATAATTCTAACTCTCTATCCCTCTCCTTTCCTTTCTGTAAAAAAAAAAAAAAAAAAAAAAAAAAAATCAATAAATATATTTTTTAAAAAACAGCATAATATGTATTTACTTATTACACCTCACTATTATCTTTATTCAACTATATTTACTATACATGCAATCTACATAGCACCTAATGGAGAGAAAAAAGGGATTCTACCATTAAGCTAACAGAGTAACAGAAGGCATGAAAATCAGCATTTACAAGGCAATGTTATAAATTTCATAACAGAAGAGTGTGTGAAGTCTGAGAAAGCACTGGTATTAACAAAAATAGCTAATAATAATAATAGATAAGAAGTACAAATAACAGGCAATTTTCTAACATGCTCATTTAAACCTCATAACAACTCTGTGAGGTAGGTGTTAATACTTACAGTTTCATAGGTGAGAAAAATGGGACACAGAGATAATTAGAATTTACCCAGCATTATACAGCTAGTAAACACTAGAGAAGAGATTTAAACCTTGGCAAAGATATATAGTCTTGCCTCTCAGTGAGTTGGAAGGCATACCTGATTTTGGTAGCTGCTAATTTATCTGACATATTCAACAGAAATGATAACATATGTCCACACAAAGACTAGACTTGAAAGTTCATGGCAATTTTACTCATAATAGCCAAAAATTAGAAAAAATCAAATATCTTTCAATAAGTGAATAGATGATTACTATCTATCTTTCTATTCTCTCTCTCTCTCTCTCTCTCTCTCTCACACACACACACACACCCTATCTAATAAAATAGTAATATTTAAATTGACCATCACTCCAACACAAAATGGCCACCCCCATGTGGACACAATATGGCTGCCACAAGATGGCCTGCAGAGGAGGATAGTTGTAGGCAATCAGGCCAGCAGAAAAGGGCAGGTGGAAGGGACCAGGCCTGTAAGGGAGGGCAGTTTTGGGGTGATTAGGCCTGTAAGGGAAGGCAGTTAGGGTGACCAGGCCTGCAGGGGAGGGAAGTTGGGGATGACTAGGCCTGCAGGAGAAGACAGTTAGGGGTGACTAGGCCTGCAGGGGAGGCCAGTTAGAAGCAACCAGGCTGGCAAGGAAGGGTAGTTAGTTAGGGGTTACCGAGCCAGCAGAGGAGGGCAGTTGGGGGAGACCAGACCTGAAGGGGAGGACAGTTAGGGGCAATAGGGCTGGCAGGGGAGCAGTTAGGCATCAATCAGGCTGGTAGGGGAGTGGTTAGGGGATGATCAGGCTGGCAGGCAGAAGTGGTTAGTGGCAATCAGGCAGGCAGGCGAGCAGTTGGGGGCCAGCAGTACTAGATTGTGAGAAGGATGTCAAACTGCCTGTTTAGGCTGGATCCTACAGGGATAGGGCCTATATGGGCAGTTGGACAAAATAAGGGGTCCCAGACTTGGTTGAGGGACCTCCACTCCCCGTGCACAAATTTTGTGCACCAGGCATCTAGTATATGTATAAAAGCCAAAATGACTGGCTGACCGTTCGACAGGTAGCTATGTTGGGCACTGACCACCAGGGGGAAGACACACAATGCAGGGGCTGCCCCTGGTGGTCAGTGTGCTCCCACAGCAAGAGTGCCGCTCAGCTGACCAACGGGCGCCAGATGCTGGGCTCATGGCTGCAAGCGCAGCCATGGTGGCAGGAGCCTCTCCTGCGGACACTCCCCCTGCACGCCCCTCCCCAATCTGGACCGGGACTGGGACCGGAAACAGCATCGGGAATGTCTGGGAGCAAGCCTGTGGCCACTTCTCAGTAATGGGCGTGCCGGTATCACCCTAAGACAGGTGCACAGAGACAACAGTGGAGCAGCAGTGAGCTTACTGAGCAGTGGTGGCAGCACAGCAGGGCCAGGATGAGCAGGAGTGGCACCCTGGGCCCGGCTCAGGCTCCCCCCGGGCAGCCTGCCACTTTGCACACTACTACATCCATCAAGGGATGTAGGACTGCTGATTTCTTCAGCCAATCCCAGCAGGCCAGGCCAAGGGACCCCACAGATACACGACCAGTGCACAGATTCGTACACCGGGCCTCTATTTTTTAAAAAAAAGGACGCTGAAACAGGTTTGGCTCAGTGGATAGAGTGTCAGCCTGCAGACTGAAAGATCCCAGGTTCGATTCCGGTCAAGGGCATGTACCTTGGTTGCGGGCACATTCCCAGTAGGGGGTGTGCAAAAGGTGGCTGATCGATGATTCTCTCTCATCAATGTTTCTAACTCTCTATCCCTCTCTCTTCCTCTCTGTAAAAAAAAACATCAATAAAATATATTTTTTTAAAAAAAAGGATGAGTCTCTAAAAACAAAATTAACAACAACAACAACAACAAAAAAAAAAACCCCAGTATACTAAGCAAAAGAAGCCTAAAACAAAAAAAATCAGAAATGTAAAATTCCATTTAAATGAAATTCTGGAAGAGGCTAATCTCTATTTGTGTGGAGCACTGGGTTAAATTGACAGCGAAGGGGCATAAGAGAACTTTCAAGTGTTGGAAATGTTCTATAACTTGATTGTGGTAGTGGTTACACAATTATACATCTGCCAAAACTCATCGAACTATACACTTAAAATGGATGTAAATTATATCCCAATAACATTAACTTGAAATAAAAAAAGATGCCAATTTTTAAAATCCAGATAATGTAATATGTAAAAGTAACCGTGTGTGTGTGTGTGTGTGTGTATATTAAACAAATATCCACATATACATGTGTGTATATATGAAGGAGAAAAGACTTGGAATATAATCACAAAAATTTATTATTTAACAAATGCAATCCTATATGATCCTATAACATATAATAAAAGCCTAATGTGCAAATTGTCCCCGTGGTTGATCATTCCACCAGGAGACAGGGAGTTCAACCACTCGCCACGACATGTGCTGACCACCAGAGGGCAGCGCGGAACATGCATCAGCAATGCCCTGCGACTTCTTGCCAGCTACCTGGGGTTGGGGGTGATGGGGACAGAGGTGTGGTGAGATGTGGGGTGTCCACCGAGCTCACACTCACTCCCCTGCTACCCTCCCACTGGACTCCAGGGCTTGCGTGCCGGGTGCCCACAAAGAGCCTAGCCCGCACCCACGTGGCCTTTTCTGGGTGAGCCAGGCCACAGCCATCGGGACTACAGGGGCCAGTTGGGCTCCCTGTGGGTTCGCACAGGAGCCAGCCTGTGAGGCTGCCTGCTCAGTTTCCATGTGGTACCGCTGGGCCCAGAGGACCACGCTGTATCCCAGCCATGGCATCTGGCTGCACTCACCTCATCTGTGTGGGGACTCGGGCGCCCCCTCACAGATGGAGACGCATGGGGAGACCAGGTGCTGCCAGGGCCCAGAGGTCAGCTGGGACCTCCCCTTTCATGCCCAATGCTCCTGCTATGAACACCGCCCAGGCCTAGAGACTTCAGTAGTGTACAAATTTCATGCACCGGGCCTCTGGTTCTTAATAAATAAATTTGAATGGAGCTCATGTTAAAGTGCTTATGTGACTATGAGTTGTTCTAAGTGTCTCTTTGCTTCCTGGGTACCTAATTAGTACAATATCTGGAAGAAACACAGAGAGTATACAACAAATGCTGTTTAAATAAGTATGTGGCACTCCCCATTGCCTCTCTGACCTGGGACCTCTGAACAGAGTCTTACAGGAAGCAAACGAGTGAGCCTGTCAGGTACAAAGGAAATTTTTTCAAGCTTTGGGATAACCAAGTATATATGCGTGTCATTTATAAATACTTATATTCCCATAGATTAAAAGCTTTATCAGGTAGAGCAGAGATTTTATGTCATACACCCTTTCATTCATTCAGCAGGATTTCTTGATCTACTCTATACATGGATGGCACACACAAAAAGCAATCATTAGAAGGTAAATGGAAAGTTTTTAATACCAGATAGAGAAGGACTATAATTAAAGGAAAACATTAGGGGAAGAATGATATATTGTCTCACTCCCCACTTCCCACCTCCTTCCAGGCAGTCTGGCTATTTATTATTCACTCATGGTATCCAAATTTGTACTCCAGCTTTTATTAGGTTCATCAGGATGGCCCCAAATTCACTCCCGTATGGCATCTCTATCCTGACCCGCAATTTGGGGAATAGGCTCATTATTCCTTGTATTTTAGGACTGCTGAGGTGCACAAAGAAAAGTGTCTTGTCAGGGAACGGTGGCATTCAAAAAGTTCACAAAGGAGCTGATAAAGTACAGAATTTTAGATCAAATTAAAATGAGGGAAATGAGGGCCAAAGAAACAAAGTATGTGCCCATCATCTGATGGCTAATTGAGTCACACATTAGGGTGTTCTCTCATGGGAATCCCGGAACGCTCGTCCCGTTTAAATTTTGGCCCATTCCCATCAGGGCCCATTCCTGAAGAGAAAAAGTCGGAACCGAACCGGGCTCACCGAGCCAATGAGAGTGTGATGAGTGCCTCCATTAAAGCCAGCGGGGTCCGGGCCGGAAGCGTGAGGCAAAGGGGGCCAAAGCCTAGCCAGACTCTGAAAGGGAGGCTGCCTGGAACCAGGGCTGACAGGACGCAAATCGGGTCGCACCCCGGACCGTACCTTCGCTGAGGTTCCGCCCGGACAGGTTTAACTGGCCGCTCTTCCGCGCCGCCTTTAACAGCCCCTGGGGTACGGAGGAGGCCCCGCCGCCTCCCCTTTCAGCTCTGAAACCCGCTCGGGGGTCCCGCGCCGCGACTCCTTTCAGGCGCGACATGTTTCAACCCCACCCACCGGGGTCCAGAAGCGGAGAGCCCTGCGCGTGACGCAAAAAGGCGGCGCCGCCTTCGGCCCCGCCCCGCCCCTGCGGCGCGCGCCTGCGCGCTCTGTGCGCGGGGCTCGTGGCCTCCGGCGCGGGGCCTTCGCTCTCCGGCGGCGCGGCCTGGGTGACGTCACTGTCCGTGACTGGAGCTGGAGGACAGAGGAGCCCTTCCCGTTGCCGGTGCCAGCCCCGGTCTCTTGGAATTACTTCGCTCAAGTAAGTGTGTCTAAGCGGCTGAGGAAGGCCTTGCGGGTTTAGGGTGTGCAGTGTTACCGCGAGGCCGTCTTCCCCATCGGTGCCCCCGCCGCCTCGGCCAGGGTGGCGGGAAAGAGTAACCTTTTCTGCTTCCTCCTTCTGGCCTGGACGGAGCGCGGGCCTGGACTCAAACTTGAGCCCTGGGCGCGGTCTGCAGCCTCGCTGGACCCTAAGCCTGTGTTGGGCGCTGCTGGCGGTGGCGCCAAATCTCCGCCCGGCGTAGGAAATAAAGCGGGTTTCTGTTCCTCCCGACGATACTCTGGTTCCTGGAGTGGGTGTCCCTGGCCTGTGTGTGGCATGGAGTTCGTAGCCCAGCATAGGAAGTAGTGCGAGGTGGACGTGTTTGGCAACAGGGAAAGGACGGGGGGGAAGCTTAATAAATGTTTCCCAGGGAACCAAGTGGAGGCACAAGCTTCACTATAGTGAAAACAGCTTGGACTTTTGGAAGCCCAGAGATACCAGTTCGAATCCCAGCTGCTTCTGTGTCTTACAAGCGATGTAGCTTTAGGCAATTTGCCTCTTTTATTTTATTTTTTATTATTTTTTAAGATATATTTTATTGATTTTTCACAGAGAGGAAGAGAGAGGGATAGAGAGTTGGAAATATCGATCGCTGCCTCCTGCACATCTGCCGGGGATATATATATATGCCCGCAACCAAGGTGCTTGCCCCTGACCGGAATCGAACCTGGGATCTTGCAGTTCGCAGACCGACGCTCTATCCACTGAGTCAAACCGGTCTCGGCTACTTTACCTCTTTTAAAGCTCACTTTTATAAATAATTTTTTATCTCATTCGATTTTTAAAATAATTAAGTGAAGCTAACGTTTTAAATATTGAGCGCTTAGTGAAGAAAGGGACTCCAATCCGGAATAGAAAAGGAATTTTTAAAAATATTTTTATTGATTGCAGAGATGGAGTGAGAGAGAGAAAGAAACATTAGAGATGAGAGAGAATCATTGGTCGGCGGCCTTTGCACGCCCACGCTAGAGATCTCCCGCCACCGCCACCCGGGCATGTGCCCTGACCAGGAACCGAACCGTGAGCTCCCGGTTCATCATAGGTCGCCGCTCAGCCACGCCTGCCGTGCAAAGGACAGTTTTGTTCAGTGAGGTCGGTTTTCGTGGAATGTTAGTTTCTGTCTGAAATGTAAGAACTTTAGACTTTTCTTTTGCCTGAAGTGGTTTTGTTTTTAAAAGCTTCTGCCGGGAAATGTCCTCCTAAGCCCCCATCTAATCGGTGGGATATTTGAAAGGTAGAACAACAAAATCTGCAGCACAAACAATTTTGCCTCAGTCCTGGTTCTTGCTACTTCTCATATTCAGTTTTTAACTCCCTCTCGCTTTAACTCAGGAGGTTGTGGGTTCAATTCAGGTCAGAGCACATGCCCAGGTTGTGGGCTTGACCCCCAGAAGGGGGCCTGCAGGAGTCAGGCTTGATGTCCCTCTCATGGCTATTTCTCTCTCTTTTATTCTTTTTATAAAATCTATTTTTAAAAATGGGTTTTAAAGCAAGAACCATAGCAGATTATGCAAGATCACTAATGAGATCTCCCCTCCCTCTAGTTTGTCTTGATAATTTGATTATAGCCAGTTATTAATATTAAGCTTTTACTAAGTGCCAGGTTCAATGCTAAAAATGCCTCTTTTTGCTATCTCTTATTTAGTGCAATGATCAATTTTGCAGATGAAGGACTGATGCTAAAAGGGATTAAGAAATTGACCTAAGGTCACAAGTTTCTATAAGTTCTACAGCCAGGAATTTGAACCGAGGTCTCTTTCCTAAACCTGTCTTGTTAATCATTATTATTTGGCTAGTGGCTTTTATTTCATCATTTTCAACTTGCTTTTTAGTCTGGACCCATTTTAAGGGACCCTTGAAATATGTTTTAGGAGACATTTATGTATTAGAGAAAACTCTTTTTTCTCTTTTGTAGGATTTAACCTACCTTTAAAGAATAAATTGCTCAAGTATCAAATTTTACAATGGCCACCCCCCATCCCTACAATAAGTTCTTCAACATTGCTTTAAATAACATGCAAGGTATAATTTGTTCATTTATTGTGCTTCTACTTGAAGTTAAATATTTCATTATTGGTATTTAATTTGCTCTGACGGGGGTTTGAACCTCAACCTTGGCTTATCTGGATGACACTAACCTACAGAGCCACCCTGCCAGAGTACATTGTTGCATTTTGTTTAAGAGAAGCACAGCCTATTTAATGGAAAAGTACTTGTGAAAAATCCAAGTGACTTACATTTTTAGTAAACAACAATAGACATAAAGTGACATGTAAAAATTGTAGCAGTTTGTATTCACAGTACCACTAGTATTGTATCTGTGAAGCAAGTGCAAATGGATGAAAATTATTTCCTCGTGTTATTTGGGAAATTACATGTTCTATCAACTGTATTACTTTAGGAAGAATGCTTTGCAAATTTTTAAAAACAGCCCTTTTCCAACATTAACATATATGTTGAAAAATATTTAAAGTTAAAGTATTTGTTGTTTTTAACGGATTATTAAAATAACATGGATATCTCCTTTACAGGGGCTGGAGACTCCTGCCTAGGTACCTTTTGCAACAAAATTTGTCTAGCTATAACTTACTCATTTTTTTTTTTTTTAAGTAATGGGAGGATCCACTCTTGTAATTTATTTGCTAAATTAAAAAAAAAAAGTGAAGAAACTAAAAATATATTGAGCCTAAGAACTACATTGGCTGAAAAAAATGTTTTGTTTTGTTTTTCATAAGGGAAAATACGACTATTATCAGAGTAAGAGTAGCTTATCTCCATCATTAAAATTTAATGACATTTTCAAACATAGCTGGGTTACTCTTATAAACATTACTACATTTGTTTTCCATTCAGCTCCATTACTGCCAACTTTTAAAAGTAGCAAGAAATGCTGTATTATTTCTTTGAAAGCATATATATTTTGCATTTGTAATCATGGTTTCAAATGTGGCTTTGATTTATATTTTGTTGCTATTGGAGTTGCTTGTGGCAATTTTTATTTTTTTATGGAGACAGTGTATTTTATTTTAGGTTATTCATTTGTGTACTTTTTATTTCCATTGCTTCTCTTTCTTGTTTTTGAGTCATAAAGTAGTGATCTTACTCTAGGAGGTTTAATATTTGATTCAAATGTTGAGTGATATAATTCTCTCTACTTTCAATACAAAAGAATTTTAGTCCTCCAGCTTTAGGAAAATATTTCCATTTTCCTTTTATAAAAGGGTTTTTATATGCTAGTGTTTTTCACATGAATAAAAGTGGAAGAAATACTTTAAAATATTTTTCTTTTAATCCTAATTTCAGTTTTCTTTTTTTGTTTGTTTGTTTTTTATTGGCGGGGTGGGGGGGGGCGCGGACAAGCTAAAATCAGGGTGGGCTGAAACCAGTTTGGCTCAGTGGATAGAGTGTCGGTCTGCGGACTGAAGGGTCCCATGTTCAATTCCAGTCAAGGGCATGTACCTTGATTGCAGGCACATCCCTAGTAGGGCATGTGCAGGAGGCAGCTGATCGATGATTCTCTCTCATCGATGTTTCTAACTCTCTGTCCCTTTTTCTTCCTCTCTGTAAAAAATCAATAAAATATATTTTAAAATAATAATAAAATCAGGGTGGTTATAAAGCATTCTTATGTCATTAAATAAAAACATTATGGTATCATTTATTGTTTTTTTTCTCAAATCAGCTGAAATGTTTCCCATTATTCCAGTGATTCTTACACCTAATAATAAAAATAGCTGTTTTCTTGCTCATTTTTCAAGATTAATGTGTTCTGTGACCTAAAGTCTTCACTTTAATATTAATTGTATAGGTTTTATGAGTTTGTTCACTTTAAAATGGTAATACAGAGAGAAAATTAGGGCACCAAACCCTAGGCCTAGAAGGTACTTCAGAGAAGCATTCTATTTTTGTTTTAAACACATATAAACCCACTACCAAATAAATTAGTTTAAAAATTAGTTTGATTAGCCGGGACCGGTTTGGCTCAGTGGATAGAGCGTCGGCTTGGGGACTAGAGGGTCCCGGGTTCGATTCCGGTCAAGGGCATGTACCTTGGTTGCGGGCACATCCCCAGTAGGGGGTGTGCAAGAGGCAGCTGATCGATGACTCTCTCTCATCGATGTTTCTAACTTGCTATCTCTCTCCCTTTCTCTCTGTACAAAATCAATAAAATATATTTTTAAAAAAATTAGTTTGATTAAAATCCACTAAATTAGAAGTTGACTTATATCATCCCCTGCCAATAGCTTTGTCCTATTGGATTCAGCTTGCAACCTCATTTGCTCAGTACTTCTGAAAGAGAGTGACATTGCCCCCTTGGAGTGGCTCAGTCGGTTGAGCATAGTCCCATGAACTGAAAGGCTCACCATTGGATTCCTGGTCAAGGCACATGCCTGGATTTTGGGCTCAATCCCTAGTAAGGGTTGTGCAGGAGGCAAGGGATCATGTTTCTCACATTGATATTTCTCTCTATCCCTCTCCCTCCTCCTCCTCCTCCCCCTCCTTCCCTTCCTCTCCCTCTCCATCTCCATCTCTATATCTCTCCCCATTCCTCCCTCCCTCCCCACTCTTTTCCTCTGAAAAAAAGAAATCAATAAAAACATTTTTGTAAAGTGACATAAATGATAATACTTGGCATGTATTGTTCTATATGAGGAAAGCTCCTGTCTTACGAAGATAAGCTATGTTCCCTGAGATTATTTTTAGTGTCCACTTAAGTTGATAAGGATGGGAAATGTGAATAATTTGATAGCTATTGACAATCACAATCAGATTTTTAAAAAATTGATACTCAAATTTTGAGTTGGAATATTTATACTCACAAATACAACTGATATAAATTCCAATTTAATTTTTTTCTACATCAATTTTCCTTAATCCTTTAAAATATAATTAGATTTGAAAAATACCATCTTTGGCATATTAAAATACTAGTGAACATT